TTGTTTGCACTGTTTGCACTGCTAGCATTGTTAGCTGCTAGCCGCCAATTTAGCCGTCACCATTTTGAGAGCATTGTGAAGGCAAGTTCTCAGTCAAAGACTTTTTCTGATATTCTTCTAATGAAATTGAAGATAGGAGACTCGCATTTGCTTGCAGCAGCTTGTACACAATTTTATGTTTTTATTTTCATTTTGTTGCTGGTGCCTATAGCATATAGTGGGACAGGTAAACCCACATGACTCATTGCAAGCTTATTGTGAGGAATTCAGCTCAGTGGGCTTGGTGACCCTTAGTAGGTGGCTTTATTGATAAAACAATAATGTGGAATTGACCTAAATTATATACTGTATACTATGAGGGGATACAGTTATTACCTTTGGTGCATCACACTTACCCTGCGCTATAAGTTCTATCAGCAATTGTCGGAGATTAAAATGTTCCAGTGCAACACAGTCTCACGGCATTTCGTGTTATAATCACAAAATGAATCTATTGATTCGTGTTCACCAACACGATTTCGCCATTTTTTTCGTGTCACACAGAACGATTTTAATAGCAATGTAAATAATAACAAATTAGAAGGAAAAACAGATAAAAAAAAATACAGATTTCAGTATTCTGACACAGAACGATTTTAGAAGCAATGTATTTATATTGGTAGTATGTTTCGTGCCTGCGGCAAATAATAACAAATTAGAAGGAAAAAAAGATGACAAATACAGATTTCAGTATTCTGAGGCTCTGAGCCCCATTTCTTTTCCTCGCGGACGACAAAAAAAACTCTGACATTATACAATTTAAAATAAAAGGGATAGGGTTAGGCTTAGGGTAAGATATTGAGTAAGAAAATGTTTTTATGAACCACACAGCTTCTGGTATTCCAAGACCCAACCGGACAGAAAGACGTGTTGCAGGCACGAAACATACTACCAATAGAAATACATTGCTTTTAAAATCGTTCTGTGTGACACGAAAAAAATGCGAAAATCGTGTTGGTGAACACGAATCAATAGATTAAATTATTTCGTGACTGTAACACGAAAGGCCGTGAGACGGGGTTGTCCAGTGTGTCTTGCTATAAAATTAATTGGACATCACCGGCATGATCAAACATTGATTTCAATACCTAACATCATTCATACAAATTACCACATGCACTCACAACCTCTAACAGGTTAAAATGACCATCATCGAAATACAAATGACATTTTTCTGTTTTTTTCTAACACCCTTTAAAGAGTAGCTTTTTAGTTAATCCTTCTATCGCACACTCATTCTCCATATTCCAACTTAGAATTTGTATTAGGCATATTGTTCATGTGGTTCTTACAATAAGTTCAGTCATTATAGAAGTGCTTAGAGAAATAATCACCCAGTTGCATGCAGAAATGTAATTTCTCTGTTCATCTTTAGCCTCTTAGCGTTCTCTGAATTCAACCCATTTTAATTCCACTTCCCATTCAGCATGTGTGAATTATATAAGCGAACACGTATGCTATGCTGTTGACTTGTCTCTGTGAGTGATTGACAAGTAATCTCCTCACCGGCAATCCCTTTCCACAGAGTCCAGCTTGCGTGGCTATAGGCATGACTGATGAGATACTGTTTTACATTTTTGACAAATTGGCTTTAGGATGAGCCAATTAAGTGCCATTCTAGGAGAAAACAAACTATTTTGATGTAGTGTTTTTTCTTCATATCTCGTTAAAAAAAAAAGGCATATTTCTTTAATTTGCAATTTCAGTGTGAAAGAACCCTGGCAGTTTCTTTGATGAAATTGAATAGCCATCATCCACAAAGTCAATTACATTTGTCATAAACGCAATCTAGTAATTACGTCGTCCTGCCTTGCACTTTATTGGTTATCGGAGCAACTGTGGATCCATGGTATGGTTTAATTAGATGGGCTTGTATGTGCCATAACTGGTATTGGGGATGGTTGAATGATTGATATGGAGACTTAATTATCTGCCATCGTGGGACAACAGTAAATTCTGAGTAAATGTTCTGGCTGGGTTTTGAGGTCAAATTAGAATCCGGTCTAGGGTTAAGGTAAAGGTTAGGGTCTAGTTATGGGATGTTTTATCGAGGATCGATTGGGAGTCAATTCAGTGCCATTACAAAGAGACATGTTTGTGAGTGACTGGAAATGCTGGGTGTTTAGCACAGGGAGTTGAGGTGAATTGGGTAATCTCTTGCATTAGGAGTTGTAGCGTCTGAATCATTTAAGGAGTCGAGGGGTCACACACGGACACTTGAGAGGGGAGGTAGGGCGGTTGGGCCGGTGAGCAGGTGGGTAGTGGGTGGGGGGGAAGACCAGGCTTCACAATCACCACCAGGTGTTTTTAACCAACTGACCTGCTCGGAGAGCCGCTTGCCTCTGAGGAAGAAGCCCAGCAGGCAGCCAATGACTACGGCCAGCACGGACAGGATGAGCAGTCCGTTCTGTTTGCAGACATTCTTCACCCGCCCCCACACTTCACCCAGAGCCACTGCCATCCTCCTCCACCAACTCCTCCTCTTGCTTGTCCTGGTCCGGTCTGCAACTTCTCCACCCCTCACACAGAAAACAACCGGAGCAAGCCCCCCCCCCCCCCCCCCCCTCTTTTAACCGCTTATTCAGCCATATAGAACCAGCGCAGAGCCAACAGCCGCCACCACTCTGGAGGAAATAGCAAATAGTCAGTCGAGAGACAGATGGACGCAGGCTGGTGAAGGTGAAGGTGGGATTGAGAGAGCAAGAAATTAGAAAGAAAAAGTGAAAAATAAAATAAAAAGTGTTTTCTTAACCGAGGGGCGTGAAGATTCAAAGAGGTAGTGGTCAAAAAACAAAGCACTTCAGGAGTTTCTACGTTCCTCCTCCCAACTGCTTCCCTGAATATTACACAAGAGCCTCACACTCTCTCTGTCTCTGGCTATCTGTGTCTGTATCTCTCTGTCAGTCACCTCCCCCTCTGTCTCTCTAACTCCCCCCCAAACACAGTGCTCCTGGTGGCCAACAGGGGGCTCTGCGACAGCTGGCGGTATTGTCATCAGGGTTAATACTACGATCCTATTAGGCAGCACTGCACGACTCACATCTAAGGCTGGATTAGAGAGCTCTCTGAACAATTGGACAGCGGATTGTTCCAGACCACAAAAAAAAACTGAATGTGCACCATTGACTTGAGGTAAATAACAGCAGAAAAAACTACAACCGGGTTACAATCCTGTTGAGATATTGACCTGTTTTTAAGTTTCACGCAGATAAAGAACAAGCTTTGGACAAGTTGGTGGTGACACACAGAGCTAAGTACATAAACACACAGTCAGGGTATGTGATTGCCCACTAATCATAATTACATCAAGTTCTCACACCTACTTGCCGCCATGCTGACTTGAAGGGCTCTCTTCCCTTTGAATGCCTGGTAGATGAGAGAACGCTCTAGTACTTTAATTATGAACATTATCTCATATACCATAGCATTGTTATGCATCTTTTTCTCATCACAGGGAGTGAAGCATATCCCTCAATGTATTTGATCATGAGATTCCACTTTTTATTTTTTATACTTGACGTGTACTGTATACATAGAGCAAGTGTGTATTATTTTCCACATAAATACATTACAAGCAACCGATTAGCAGTCCTTTTTGTAATCAAGCATCCTTGTGGATTCACACAGCAATAGAAGGCCCACAGAACAGTTGTATGAGAATAATTATTCAGAGCAGGTGCTGGAGTCACGTTATTGACCAATGGGAGTATAGTTACCACCTGAAAATGTTTCCATTTATTAGTTGCTAAAACTCCACTTCGTGTAAACCTCTGTTTTCCATTCATATCCATGGAAATGATATCCAGGGTTGCATTCAAATAGTCTTTTTTGCTGAGGAGGGTTCCTGAGTTATGGAAAAGTACGCATAAGGAGTGGCAGCCAAGAAAGGAGCTGTTCTAATTCTCTAAATAAAGCAAGGAGCTTTAATGCTTCCATTATTTTGTAGTTTAGCACAATCGACAATCTTTTAAAGAGGACATATTTTGCTCATTGTCAGGTTTCATATTTGTATTTTATGCTTCTACTGTGACATGTTTACATACTTTAATGTTAAAAAAGGTCTTTATTTTTCTCATACTTCTGTTCACCCTGAAACCAGAGGTATAGGTATAAAAGCTGAGCATTACAATTGGCTCGGACCTCGGGCCTCACGGCTGGGAAACTGTGGCTTGCATAATTGCACCGCATTTGCGCATAAGATGAGGCCCCCGGCGTAATATGAGGCCCTACGAACTGCGCGTGTTCTGCTTGAGAGGCGGCCCTGTTGGGATGTCAATATATTATGGAGGTCAACAAAGGAGTTCAATGAAGGTGGTTCAGGCAGGGGGGAGTGTGTGGGAGAGAAACTCCCTCTGGAAGGAACTTTGGGATGTTAGCCTTTGCAGACCATTTACATGCACATAACCTATAAAACACTCTCCAGGAAAGATGAACCCCCAAAAGCACAATAGAATCCCTTTAAGAAAGGAAAGGAGAAAACAGCGCTCCACAGTTCCTACAAATTGAAACATTTTGAGTGACAAACCATTCAAATCTATTTGTCAAATATTTGTATACACTCACACTAATTGGGATTCATGTTTATTGATATGAGTCGACTTGGGTTAGGATGTCCACGAGCAACCATTTTTAAAGTGACAAACATTTATTTTCACTCTTGTTTTTTTCTATCTGTTTCTATCTTAGTAATTAAGTCATACTGTATGTATATTTACTGTTTTTGCTGTTTATATTGTACTAATATATTGTTGTAACGAAACAACATGATAACAGCGCACAGGGCAAAGTATCGATGTGCGCTTTTAGTATTCATCCCATGGAAAATTGTAGTTTAACCGTGGCAGATGCACGACTAGAACACCTTCCGTTGTAATCAAATTCCCTCCTAAGTCTTTCTCTGAGGTTAAGAAAGAGTGTTTAGAAAACATACATAAAATGCTATTTTATTGACTATTTGACAACAACCCATAACTGAATTGAATGAGGCTTCAAATACAAGGACAGTTGGTCAGAAAGATATTTTGATTAAAAAACAACACAGTTCATTAAGCACGTTATTAAAATGACTTTGTGCCGTAGCCATTGTATATGGATTACTGCTAAATAAACAACAATATATTCCCCTCAGCAACCTGTCTAATTTCTTATTAATAAGCATCCTCTCCCTTGTAATGTACTGTACAGCATTTTCTGTACAACCACTCTCCTAGTTTAGCTCAGAGTGCTTCAGGAACATAAAATACCCCATGTAAATTGAATCCTGTAACATATATTATACAATATATATGCACACGATATTTTCCATAGTATGGGTTACAACTTGATCATGGATTTTTCTTGGGCTTCTAATTTTAAACCAGGTCTGATGGCTTTGGGAGGTTAATATGGTGACTAAAAAGGGATTTGAAAATGTCTTGGTCAGCCCCTCCCTCTGAATCCATTGAGACTCATCTGCTGGAGGACAAGCCCCAAGCCCCCAGGAAGATAGCCATACGTTGAGTACTCAATTTTTCCCATTGACTTAAATAGGAAAAAAGACGTCTGTAAATCAGCAGATAATAATTGTTTTACGTGAATCAACTTACCAAGAAGAACACTTGAATAGCCCATATTATAATCATTAGGGCTTTAAAGTTTAAGAATGTGCTAAAAGTGAAATCAAGAGTTATTTCCCCTCTCCATTAATTTGACTGAGCCGAGACTGGCCGTAACGGAGCAGATTGGAGGCGGGGCTTAAGGAAAACGCAAGTGTGCATACTCTATGGGCCCCTTGGTTGCAGGAGATCTCCGGAATATATTATAAAGATCTGGTTATTTTTTGTTCTCGGGTCAGGCCATTTGAGCAACTTTTATAGGAATGAACCGACCCCGCCTCCAACGCTGTATCCATGTTAACTTATTTACATCCATGACAAATCCACCTAAGAGCTATGGGGAAAATAATCGTTATTGATTACCAAATGTATTGAACTGTAAATAGATCGATGAGTGCATGAGTGTGTGTAGGAAGGCAGTTGACAGAAAGGATGTCCAATCATTTCAAGTGGACCAAATTGAATGAGTGGACGGGCTTATTAAAGGCCCGCAATAGCCGAATAAATGTTATCTTCGTGTTAGAGCCTTTTATATCTTTAATTGGTCGGAAGACACATTGAAAGGGTTTGAATATATTACCTACCCTAACTTGAACCTTTTATACAACTCATTTTCAACAGAAAACTATTTATAGGATACAGGGTTGTTATAAAACAGACCTTATGTCCATAATTTGCACCATCTTTTTCCTGCTCAGTAATGGTGAGCACATTAAATATGAAGAGGGGAAAGGAGAAACCATTACAGATTTTAGGTAAAATGGAAAGCAGAGACATGACTTCTATTGTGCGCATGAGGGGAATGGAAGGCCAAGTAACTAGAATAACTAAATGAAAAATATGGAAGAGGATCGTGACCAGAGGAGGAAAACTATCAGGAGAAGAATTATAAAGTTATAAGGACACAAACCTTCATCCTGTTATTACGTTTAAGTCCTGCACAATGCAAACAGCTTATTTCATTTCGATTAACAACAATACCCCTAGTGTGACACATTAGGAAAACCAGAGGCTCTTCTGTTGTGTTAACATAACAGGCTTTCACATGATGGATGATATTACTCTAATTGTAATCCCAGATGCCACATCTGCTAGGAGGCTGCGGTGTAATCCCTGAGGATGTGTTGTGTCTCGTGAAATTTGTTTATGTGTTATGTCTGTCTTTTCATGTTATTTCACGTCATGTCATGTCTGTCTATTTATGTCATTTCATCTCTAGTCAAGTCCCCGTGTTTCATGTCATGTCTCGTTTTCCATTTCCTGTTTTATTTTGTACTTACCTCTTGTCTCTCATTTCAGGCCCTGTCACTTCCTCCCTTTGTGTGTTTTCCCGCCCTCGTCAGCGTCCGCCCCGCCCCTGATTGTTTCCACCTGTTCCCACTCACCTCATGTTTAAATAGTCCTGTCTCCCCCCTGTCCTGTGTCAGTTTGTCTTGTTTGTTTCCATGGATGGTCTTGCCAGGCTTCAGCCAAGAGAGGATCATTTCCAGTCTAGTCAGGTTTTGTTATTTTGTTATTTTGTTATTTTTTGCAGACTTAAATTCATCTTAAATTCTCTTTTTGTTACGCTTGTTTTTTCCTCCTTGTGAGCGCTTTTTGTTTAATCCAGTACCTACTCTGTTAAGAGGGACTTTCTGTTTGCTTGAAATTAAAAATAAATTTTTTGCTACATTCAAGACTGTCTCTGGGTCGTGCATTTGGGTTCTCCAGTTTGTGTTAAGGTAGTGACAGGATGTGCTGTCGTTTGCAATTGCCATATTTTTTTATATGCATTTAAAAAAAAGACGCTAAGATCAAATACAAGGCTGTTATACTACATATCTGCACTCAACACTCCGGTGGAAAATGAAGCCTTTATTTGTGACAC